ATTGAAGGGGACCATCCAATGACCATCCAATGACCAGCCAAGGACCAGCCAAGAACCATCCAATGACCAGGTCAGGTCTAGCCAAGGATCAGCCAATGACCAGCCAAGGATCAGCTAAGGATCAGCCAAGGATGAGCCAAGGACCAGCCAAGGATCAGCCAAGGACCAGCCAAGGATGAGCCAAGGGCCAGCCAAGGACCAGCCAAGGACCAACCAAGGATGAGATAGGGCCAGCCGAGGACCAGCCAAGGATCAGCCAAGGATCAGCCAAGGACCAGCCAAGGATCAGCCAAGGACCAGCCAAGGATGAGCCAAGGGCCAGCCAAGGACCAGCCAAGGACCAACCAAGGATGAGATAGGGCCAGCCGAGGACCAGCCAAGGATCAGCCAAGGATCAGCCAAGGACCAGCCAAGGATGAGCCAAGGGCCAGCCAAGGACCAGCCAAGAAAGAGCCAAGGGCCAGCCAAGGACCAGCCAAGGACCAGCCAGGAATCAGCCAAGGATCAGCCAAGGGCCATCCAAGGACCAGCCAAGGACAAACCAAGGGCCAGCCAAGGACCAACCAAGGACCAGCCAGGGATCAGCCAAGGACCAATCAAGGCCCAGCCAAGGACCATCCAATGACCAGCCAAGGACTAGACAAGGACCATCCAATGACCAGCCAAGGATTAGCCAAGGATCAGCCAAGGGCCAGCCAAGGGCCAGCCAAGGACCATCCAATGACCAGCCAAGGACCAGTCAAGCAAAGTGGGGAAATTTTGAATGGCTACTACTGTATTTTCTCAGGAAATTCTTTATTTACCTTTAACACATTATAGTTTAGTATGCTTGCTATTTTTAGGGGAAATTGTTTTTAGGGAAAAATGTAGGTCTGAAATTTATTTATTTTTTTTACAAAATAAATTGAGGGTGAACCGGGTTCAATTCTGGTGGATGATGAGCTGATGGTACGGATTGCGTTTCCGGGACGATCGGGTATCAACCCACAGTAGCTCCTCTTCAATGCTAAAGATAGGAGCATCCAGGGGAGCAGCTCTCCTGCTGCCAGAGCTGGTAGCAACTTTATTTGCACCCCACCTCCTACCACAGTCATCTGTTAGACAGTGTGGCTGATGGACAGGTTTATAGAATTATTTAGCTCCAAGGCAAGGCTAACTGCACGCAGCGAGGCTAATGCTTTATTCTGCTTTCCCTGCCCCAAACGTCAGGAT